TGTTATACAGACTACTAGCAGAGAAAGAGGCTGTTATACAGACTACTAGCAGAGAAAGAGGCTGTTATACGGACTACTAGCAGAGAAAGAGGCTGTTATACGGACTACTAGCAGAGAAAGAGGCTTTTATACAGACTACTAGCAGAGAAAGAGGCTGTTATACAGACTACTAGCAGAGAAAGAGGCTGTTATACAGACTACTAGCAGAGAAAGAGGCTGTTATACAGACTACTAGCAGAGAAAGAGGCTGTTATACAGACTACTAGCAGAGAAAGAGGCTGTTATACAGACTACTAGCAGAGAAAGAGGCTGTTATACAGACTACTAGCAGAGAAAGAGGCTGTTATACAGACTACTAGCAGAGAAAGAGGCTGTTATACAGACTACTAGCAGAGGAAAGAGGCTGTTATACAGACTACTAGCAGAGAAAGAGGCTGTTATACAGACTACTAGCAGAGAAAGAGGCTGTTATACAGACTACTAGCAGAGAAAGAGGCTGTTATACAGACTACTAGCAGAGAAAGAGGCTGTTATACAGACTACTAGCAGAGAAAGAGGCTGTTATACGGACTACTAGCAGAGAAAGAGGCTGTTATACAGACTACTAGCAGAGAAAGAGGCTGTTATACAGACTACTAGCAGAGAAAGAGGCTGTTATACGGACTACTAGCAGAGAAAGAGGCTGTTATACAGACTACTAGCAGAGAAAGAGGCTGTTATACAGACTACTAGCAGAGAAAGAGGCTGTTATACGGACTACTAGCAGAGAAAGAGGCTGTTATACGGACTACTAGCAGAGAAAGAGGCTGTTATACAGACTACTAGCAGAGAAAGAGGCTGTTATACGGACTACTAGCAGAGAAAGAGGCTGTTATACAGACTACTAGCAGAGAAAGAGGCTGTTATACAGACTGCTAGCAGAGAAAGAGGCTGTTATACAGAATACTAGCAGAGAAAGAGGCTGTTATACGGACTGCTAGCAGAGAAAGAGGCTGTTATACAGACTACTAGCAGAGAAAGAGGCTGTTATACAGAATACTAGCAGAGAAAGAGGCTGTTATACGGACTACTAGCAGAGAAAGAGGCTGTTATACGGACTACTAGCAGAGAAAGAGGCTGTTATACAGACTACTAGCAGAGAAAGAGGCTGTTATACGGACTACTAGCAGAGAAAGAGGCTGTTATACAGACTACTAGCAGAGAAAGAGGCAGTTATACAGACTACTAGCAGAGAAAGAGGCTGTTATACGGACTACTAGCAGAGAAAGAGGCTGTTATACAGACTACTAGCAGAGAAAGAGGCTGTTATACAGACTACTAGCAGAGAAAGAGGCTGTTATACAGACTACTAGCAGAGAAAGAGGCTGTTATACAGACTACTAGCAGAGAAAGAGGCTGTTATACGGACTACTAGCAGAGAAAGAGGCTGTTATACGGACTACTAGCAGAGAAAGAGGCTGTTATACGGACTACTAGCAGAGAAAGAGGCTGTTATACAGACTACTAGCAGAGAAAGAGGCTGTTATACGGACTACTAGCAGAGAAAGAGGCTGTTATACAGACTACTAGCAGAGAAAGAGGCAGTTATACAGACTACTAGCAGAGAAAGAGGCTGTTATACGACTACTAGCAGAGAAAGAGGCTGTTATACAGACTACTAGCAGAGAAAGAGGCTGTTATACAGACTACTAGCAGAGAAAGAGGCTGTTATACAGACTACTAGCAGAGAAAGAGGCTGTTATACAGACTACTAGCAGAGAAAGAGGCTGTTATACAGACTACTAGCAGAGAAAGAGGCTGTTATACAGACTACTAGCAGAGAAAGAGGCTGTTATACAGACTACTAGCAGAGAAAGAGGCTGTTATACAGACTACTAGCAGAGAAAGAGGCTGTTATACAGACTACTAGCAGAGAAAGAGGCTGTTATACAGACTACTAGCAGAGAAAGAGGCTGTTATACGGACTACTAGCAGAGAAGAGGCTGTTATACAGACTACTAGCAGAGAAAGAGGCTGTTATACAGGACTACTAGCAGAGAAAGAGGCTGTTATACAGACTACTAGCAGAGAAAGAGGCTGTTATACAGACTACTAGCAGAGAAAGAGGCTGTTATACGGACTACTAGCAGAGAAAGAGGCTGTTATACGGACTACTAGCAGAGAAAGAGGCTGTTATACAGACTACTAGCAGAGAAAGAGGCTGTTATACAGACTACTAGCAGAGAAAGAGGCTGTTATACAGACTACTAGCAGAGAAAGAGGCTGTTATACAGACTACTAGCAGAGAAAGAGGCTGTTATACAGACTACTAGCAGAGAAAGAGGCTGTTATACAGACTACTAGCAGAGAAAGAGGCTGTTATACAGACTACTAGCAGAGAAAGAGGCTGTTATACAGACTACTAGCAGAGAAAGAGGCTGTTATACAGACTACTAGCAGAGAAAGAGGCTGTTATACAGACTACTAGCAGAGAAAGAGGCTGTTATACAGACTACTAGCA